AGTGGTGATGTTCATTGCTGTGGTATTGCTCGATTTCGAACTCGAAATAATATTCCATCACCTATTCATGATTCTAAATTAATCTATCAAATAATTTCATCTGCTATTGTCAATAGACCACCACCAAACTTTGTTATTCGTGCTGTTCTTTTATTTAGTACGAAATTGTATCCAATTACTAATACCGAAGAAGAAATTATTGACTTTTTTGATCAAGCACCAGAATATAGAGCAAAATTATTTTTTCGAAAATTGCTTCCAAATCGAAATTGGTGTTATTTTGAACAATGTGAATCAATGGATCGAACTCCTACTGATAGTATTACTCAAGATAATTTTTTGGACAAATATTTTTGGCCCATTATAGACTTTCTTCTATTATTGCTTGGTTTGAGTTTAATTCTCTATTGGAAACATTAAAAAAAGAAACCATTGGTAGTTATATCTCGAAATCAAAGCCGATCATCATCGTCTAATTTGGATAATCAATCTACACCAGAAATAAATCATTTGAAAATTCGATTTTGGTTAGAAAATAGTATAAAAAAGAAAGATGCAATCCCATTTTCAAGTTATGATCTATTTATTCCGGATTTGAAGTAAATCTTACTATTGATATTTATTAAATTCAACAGATCAATCGAAATTCAATCGTTTCAAGACAAGACTTTTCCATTGTTTTTTTGTTTGTCGATCACAGTAGAACCTATTTATTCGTATCCTATCCTGAATTTTTTTTCTGAATAACGGATAAGTGATGATAAGACCAGTTTTTTTTTACCGCCAATAATTTTTACAAAAAATTACATGATTAGAATCGGTATCAATTCCTGAAGGAAACGTAAATAAGAGTTTTTTTTCTAAATAGTTCAATTTAATTTAGATCTTCTGAATAAAGACACTTTTTAGCTTATTTCTGACACTACTGTGCATTGCCTTTAGATACTAGTTTAGAATAGCAATATTATGTAGAAACGATTATTTTATCAATGGCAGATCTATTGACGATGTTAGTCAATTGTTTTGTTAACAAACGTTCTATCGAATGAGTTATTCGTTTTTAGGCCGATACAAGTTTTTATAGGCTGTTCAAATATAATCTTGAGACTTCGCCTAGTTACTCGTTTAAAACGATTCGATTTTGATTTACCTGCTTCTCAAGTATTTTCTTCGATTATGTGAAAAAAGTTTTCGAGATAAAAAAAAAGGATACATACAGTGGAATATTATCAAAAGTTACGTGACATTGTCATAACAAATAAGTTAGTTCATATCAACTTACGTAATCGTTAAGTTATAATCAGAATAAATAACTTCAAGTTCTTGACATTTTCATGAGACTAAAAAGTTATCAATCAGTAAATTTATATTTCGCCATGCCATTTTTCACTTCGAGTAAAAACTGTGCATCAGAATCATGAGGATGTGAGCGTGTAACAAGAAGAAGATCCATCCACACACAAACGTAGTCAATCTCTTCGCGTACCAGCATAGATAGTTCCATCGTTAGAATACTTTCAAAACAAAAATATCTGATTTTTTTTTTATTGTTAAAAGAAAGGGAATGCTTATCGATCAAAGACTACTTATTCATTGAGATTGACAAAATTCCAAAGGAAATAATTGAATATTTAACAATAAGTATTCATTAGCTGAAGTGTAAAATGATTCAGATATGAAAAGAAGTTTTACACGCCCATGTCAATAACTTACAATAGATGCATAATATCCTTGTCTGATACAAAATCAAATGTTATGTGATGTTCCTTGAATCAATCCGATTGATCATTATATATTTTTCTAAATAAGAAATATTCTGAGCTACTACACAGCGTGTTCTATCTAGATATGCCACTGGTCTCAAGATCGGGTTGGTCTGTCATAATTTCTGCTTATTGTATTATATATCTGTATTTTGAAAAATGATATATTTATGCAAGTGGGTAAACTGTTTTTTTTTCTTCAAAAACTTCTAAATACCATTTTCTACTTACTTTCTCTATTATTTCGTTGATGTGTTCAACGAAATAATGATATAAAACGTTTAATAATTGATTCACCAATTTGTGAAATTTTTTTTTATTAATAACATATATTTTAATTCTGCATAAACAGGAGTATAACATGGTGATGCTACTTGTAATTAAATAATTCTACGAGCAAGTAAACCACGACCACGAACAATGATTGGTAAATTTGATTATTTACCTTATTAGCACGACCATTACTACTGTTTTTAAAGCTTCCTATGCTAAACGTTGATATTCAGGCATTGATTTATCAGTTAATGATACCTAAGAAAACACGACGTATAGAATTCTATTTTCATAATTTCAAACTTTCTTACTTGTAAAAGACGAAGTTTAGGTGATGGCATATAGAGATCACTAGTACGGGGTTGTACATCATTTATTATTTCAATTTAACGAGATTCTTTGAACATTTCAATATTTTTTATCCAGCATAATTCAATTTTAATTTCAAGAGAATATAGAAAACTATGCAAGTATTCGTCATCAACTTTTTGCATATCTTCGACCTCCATCCTCTCGCCTCTAAAATCACCAATATTCAGCATTCACTAGTACTTTTAATTTATGGAATGATGTTTATTCTCTGAAGATGGCGCACAGTATAAGTGTGGATATAAGTAAAACGAATACCCATAGTCATACTTGACGAATACAAAGGGATCCTCAATAAATTTAGTGAAATATTTGTATACATTCTTTCTCGCACACGTTCTCTCCAACAAGATCATGGTAACAATGGTTGTCAAGCAGTCGAAAAACAACAATTTAAGGTAAAATGTTGTTTGAATCATGTTGTTCTCTTTTCCTTTCTAGTCGATGGTGAATCACAGGCTGGTTGCCATCAACATCTCTCCTTCGTGACGTTAGTATGGCGTGCGATAAGAATTGCGTTGCCTCCCGTAATAAATATAAGAAGAAAAGACTATTAAAAGTAATTTTTTTTTCTCATTTTTGAGACCGTTATCGATATGAAATATGAATCTAAACGATTCATTTGCTTTTATATTTCTATGGTAACTATCAATTCGATGCAGTTTTCTTGTTTTATCTGATTTCATCTTGAAGGCGATGATACCTAAAACATCAGGACATTATTCTACACACACTTGTGTTCGAGATTTTCGAAAACAGTATACGATAAGATTGGGTAAAATGTCGTCTTCTTTTAGACTTTGTGTTCATACCAAAACGATTCAACTATTTGATGTTTAACTTCCTGGGTCCCTGAAAATCCCAGATATTGACTAACTAGTAAGATGCTACAAGATATCGCTTGAAATGAGGTATGAATCATGATTAGTTAAGTGTCTGAATACTTCTTAGATTATGTGGAAATGGTTTTCGAAGCTCAGAAACATGTGAAGAGTATCATATAGTCATAAATCAGGAAACTATTTAAAGGATTTCAAGAAAATGAATATTTTTTAGATTATTGTCGAATGCAAATTTCTCAACAATGACATCAAAAACACTTGTGTCACCAACAATACAAAGAAAATATAAAATGTCAGGCAAACGTGTACCTATAGTCGATACCAGCCAAGCTCGATCGAATATCGAAGTTCTTCGAATGTGTCTACAAGAACTGAACTGGAAAGAAGTAGGTTGATTCGATCTTCCCTTCATGTTTGATTTTATCTTACATTCTAGCGTACTACGAGTTCCTTCACCAATTCAGATATCTATTGGCATTCAGGAACATTTCACGAAGGCAATAGGAATTTCGGTTTAACTTCAGCTAGAGTGAACAAATTTCCTGGTATGATATCATGAATAACGACACTTCCATCGTATGACACAAAATTCTCATACTATGCCTTTTCAAAAATAATTAACTTTTGTCTCCGTGTGATTAATTGAATACCAGTTTCAAGTAGCTTTAATTTTTAATTATAATCTGAGTAGTATGAAGGAAACAATTAACATCATTTTCACAAAAAATGACTTTTTACATTAATTTGTGTATCACACTGGAAGTAAGAAAAGCAGGACTTTGATCGAGATGGGATGCAATATTTTACCATCGGATATCGGTTACTTTTGACATAGATAATCCTTTTTAACACAAATATTCTTCTTTCTGCTCTGTGAACACGTTGTAGATTAAAATTTTCAGCAATCAATAAAGCAGAGCTGGAATCAATGCTGCTTGATCTGTTTTGCTATCTATTTTTTGTTGTGATACTCCACCGTAATTTATCATGCTCGTTCGTTCTGGTTTCATAACTCTCAGGTCTATACACATTATTACCATTTTGATATTGGAAAATAAGAGAGAGAATTTTTTTGCGTTTATTCATATATGAAACGTCTAACACTTGTGAACAAATTCAATAGATAAATTTTTTCCTTTTAACTTTCTCAGATATCTTTAGGAATTGACCGAAGAGAAAAAAGTAAACACTTGTTAGGAAGTAGTTTGACAGTGGTACGGTTACAAATATAATTATTTTCAAACTTGGGGATGTTCAACTGTATATTTTTTGTGTCAGAACTTTTTCGAATAAAAGAATTAAGATTGTCACTGTAAAAAAACTGAAAATTTTCAAAGAAGGAGGTGTGTATACTTCACTACACTCCACTATTGGTTATATTCCTGACTATCGTTGCATAGAATGAAAAATGATGATAAGTGTCCCGTTATATTTTAAAGCTGAAGCTTTGCAAGTAGGTTTGCACTATGATTAGTGATCAAATAAGGAAGAAAAGTCCTGTTGATTTCCTTCGTAAAGACGACACAATCAATGTGAGAGGATTTCTATATGCCATGCAAATAATGTCAGAAAATTATTTCTTTTGCATTGTTCGGCTTCAACGAACCGGAGAAATCTATGCTGAAATTTTCTGCACGTCTATCTGACGAGAGACGAGAGCTGAAGTCACTGAAGAGACCTGCATGAACATAACGTTGGAAGAACTCACAGTTACATAGACAATATGTTGCAATATATTTGTGGAGTGCATGTGTGGCTTTCGATGTCAACAATAGATGTTTAGAGGACTAGATCTATTGAAGACAGTTATCTTCTCTCCTAAGTCACACTTAAATTCTTAATATTTTCCATCCACATCCACACCCAAATCTAAGAACTATATAACGTGTAGGTATGTGTGATATCCTGTGTAAAAGCAATTTGACACGTTCATTGAACGTCATGCGAATGCTATTTCCGGATGAATTCGATTTCTATCCAAAAACGTGGTTTCTACCCGAACAAATCGAACAATTCCAAAATGATGCTCGCTCGATACACAACAACGAGCGACGCCGACGCCGACCGTTAACAACTTTCATCGTCAAGCCATCAGGTTTGTTCAGTAATTCAATAGAAAATGCAATTCATTTCTATTCGCTTTATATAGATGGATCAGAAGGCGCAGGCATCTATTTGATTCAAGATCCAACTCACTGTAATGTCACTAATCGGCCGCATATCGTTCAAGGTAATGTATAAAATTCTGAATTCAATATTTCATTCGGATTCATTGTCAGAATACATTGATCGACCGCTACTAATCAATGGGCTTAAATTCGATATGAGAATTTATGTATTGATTCATAAATTGGATCCTTTGGAAGTTCTGCTCTATGACGAAGGTTTAGTGCGCTTCGCTACGGTCAATTATCAAGCTCCATCGAAGAAAAATCTCCATGAAACGTTCATGCATTTAACCAATTATTCGTTAAACAAACGCAGTGCCAATTACAAACATGCCTTAGATGAGACACAAACCGATGCCAGCAAACGAAAATTAAGCCTTGTCTGGACACAACTGGGTCAATTATTCAGTTCGAGAGAAATCGAACGAGCCAAAGAGATGATCAAAGAAATGATAAATAAGACGGTCTTAGCCATCTTACCTGAACTTCGTGTCGAATACACCATGGAGTTGCCAATGACTCGAAAACAAAATCGATGCTTTCAGGTATCAAAAACAGTAGTGATACGAGTGCTGAATGGTGGGAAGGGATAAGGAAAAATGGGTAACTTTCCAATTCAATATTGAAAAACTTAGCTTTTTTGAGTGCAACTGGACGAAATTTCTTCTGTTCTATCAGTGTTTATGACGAACATGATAGGAAATATCTGTTCAATGTAACAGCTCGACGTCTGACAGGCGAATCAAAGTTTCATGGAACAGCTAAAAATCCATCGAGCTTTCTCTAGCTTTTCCAGAACTTATGCAAAAACCATAATAGAATTTAGCATCTTTCATCAAAAAAAAACGTAAAAGAGTTTTTGTTGAAGGTAAACAGATGAGAAGTCAGAAAATTATTCGCATGAGTAAAGTCATAAGTGCATCAGAACGAAAATTTCGCTTTACTGATGCCGTCATTGTCAGAACATAGTAGAGATCTACCGGATAGGAATACAATGACATATAATATATGTCGTGTGTTGTAGAGTTCTGGTGTAAGAACATTGATTACTTGAATGGATCGGAAAGCAGCAAGAACTTTGAATAAGATAAACTAAGTTCAGCAAGATTAGAGCGACATTCTATTACCAGTGAACGTGTTATTCATTAAAAATTCGTGTGGAAGCGGACAATTCCATGCTATGTCATCTCAAAGGATAGGATAGGGCACAGCATTTATTTTCTTCTAATACTCTATTGTCATTTATTTTTGGTTGGTTGTGTGCAATATGTCGAAGGATGATTGTCAAATGGAAAAATAATGCCCTCTTTAGTCTAACGTTATTCCATCATGCTCTTATGCTGAATCCTTAGCATTCGAACATCTGTACATGAAAGAGAATAAACACACGGAGCAAAAATATTCTCTTCGAATATTAATAAACTTCAAAGACCAAGTTAACAATTCTTATTTCCATGACGTACATAGATAAGACACGTCAGGACGAGTCCGCATTGTAACAGGCTTTTGTTCTGCACTTAATCGTATCCTCTTCTACTTACTATTTCTTGTGTTGCTTCTGGCCTTCAGCATCCTGCCCTGGGCTTCGTTTTTTTTGTCCCACGTTGCTTGTTTCACAGAAGTATTCTTACAACCACGACTAGCAGAAATAGAACTGTAAATTTTGATAAATTTTGCAGATTATCGGTTTTGATATTATTCTCACTGATCGACTAAAACCAATTTTACTTGAAGTCAATGCAAATCCTTCGCTACGAATCGATTTTGATCACGTCAATGAAGCTGGTAAGAGTGATTATTTATATCAGACAGTTCAGTATTGATCATTTCAGGTAAACTTGTCCACGAGCCAAGCCCGATTGACGAAGAAATCAAGAAACCACTCGTCTTGGAAACATTGAAACTAGTGATGTAAGTGGAAAGCATCCGTACTAGACCAATAGAACTTTTTTCACGAGGTCGAATAAAAGATGAGTGAGAAACTTTTCATTTGCGTATCGAGTTTAGCAAATCTCCTATGAAAGAAATAAAGTTACAGAATTCACCACTTTTTCGTAGGAAATACAGACGATATGGTAATCAGCTAGATGCGAACGATGTAATCATGGTTCAAGGAGACAATAACATGGTCCATCGTCAAACAGAAGTACGCAGTAAAATTAAGATGACATGTGCGACGAAGACCCGTAACGACTCACAGCTGAGTCCATCCAATTTTCACTCATCGCATTGCATTTCGAAAGAATTTCTGGATGAAGAACAAGAACATCAAGTGTCATCGAATTCAGAATTGCCCGATCGACGCTCGGATAATTTTACTCAATCGATGAGCACGACTAGAAACAGAACGTTTACGAAACCAGTCAATACAACTTTGAACAATACAGCAAAAAGATCACAAGCTTCCAGTGAAGATACAGCAAATAGAGCATCTGATTCAACTCTGGTTGACGACAATTCAAATTTGTCTACACTAGATGGACCATTGACCATCGTAGACAATCAAAATATGATCGAATCGTCGATTATTCAAATTCCTATGACCGCTAATACTCGAATAGCTAATTCAATGAAATTACTCAAGATTATCTTTCCATCAACGTCTCAAACCAAATACAAGCCTATGTTTCTTTTGGAGAAAATTGCTTTCATTTACATTGAATTAGTGATCAAGCATGGATACAAAGCAATGACTAATCGATCATTTCGTAACTTGGCTAGGTAGGTTTCATTGTCATGGAGCTGAGCAAACAAAACCAAGTCAATCTTGAGACAAGTTTCCAAAACTCGCGTTTTCTTAGTTTAGTAGTTGTAGCAAAAAGTTTCCCATTGTCTAGCTGATAACAATCTCGATTATCTCATAAATTATCCTAGAAACACTTTTTTCCAATTTCAAATAAGAAGTCAATGATAGAATATTCAGTTGTATGACAGCTGACATGTCGCAACACGCATCCTTTTTTTTCCTATAAAAGTCTATTCAAGAACAAAGATGACTTTTAAAATACTAGTCATGATCCCATAGATCAAATATCTTGGATATTTAAAAGTAGAGTTGCTCAACCGCGAGCTTTCGAGCTGTAGAATAGCTTCCTTGCTTTGAAGAGAGCTAGGATTTTATTTGCATGAGACACCCAATTTAATCGTTCTGCACAGAATCAAAAATAAAATCCACAGCCAATTGATTAAAAGAGCTCTTAGCTCTGTAGTTTATGGAGTTTTCATCTGTAGGATTGCCGTGTGTCTAGAACACGAGCATATGTTTTTTTTGGTTTGCCCGTTCGTACAAATTGCCTTTTATTCAAGTGGAATAATAGAGATTTACTTGAATTCCGTCTGAAAAAAATTCAAAAAGAATTTTGCTTCCCCACTTCCTGCTGCTCAACATTTCATGTTCGCAGAAAATGTGGTACTATCAAACGACAATTCTTAACTATTTCTCTATTAGCTTCACGCTGCTTGCCTCCAGATTTAATAAAACAAAAGTATAATCTCAAAATTTCTCAACGCCAACTTCCGATTTCTTGATCCAGAAAGTCTGCAAGGATATGAACCCCGTTTCTCGCGTAAAACTCAAGGATCGGTACCTACAAATGTTTAGAGTGAATCAATCCGAATCTGAAGTTGTACTTGAAAAATATTGAGGTCACATTTTTGTGTTCTAAAATTTCGATTTAACGAAAAGATACAAATGTACGTGAGCAGCACGGAATTTGAATGTTTCACTCGTAATGATGGTTTCTACTAAGGAGAGAAAAATAGTCGTTTTTCATTCTCTGATACACGTTATAAAGTTTTCTTTTCTTGAAAATATGCGCATATGTACTAAAAAGCGAATGTTAGTTGCTTTCCTCTCATAATCAACAATTATTTCTACGTTTCGTCTGTTTGAATAGCATCTGCGGCATTATCGATCAATCAGCCACTATG